GCATTTGTGCCAACCCATCCTGAACCAAAGCCCCAAAGATGCACCACTAAACTTCACATCCTTAGGCCTTAGACTTTCATCTCACACATCCCTCTTTTGAACTTTGCCGCAGCAGCTCTCCATGTTACACCACGCATGTGAGCCAACCCATCCTGAACCAACGTCCCAGGACACACTACAAACTTCAGATCCGAAAATTTTCACCTCAAACATCTGTTTTGAACTTTGCCGGAACAGCTCTCCATGTTACACCACGCATGTGAGCCAACCCATCCTGAACCAACGTCCCATGACACACTACAAACTTCAGATCCGAAAATTTTCATCTCACACATCCCTGTTTTGAATTTTGCCGGAACAGATTACACCTCGCATGTGTGCCAACCCTGAACCAACGTTCCAAGATACACCACAAAACCTCAGACCCCAAGATGTTCATCTCACACATCCGTGTTTTGAACTTTGCCGGAGCAGCTCGCCATATTATATACACCACGCATGTGTGCCAACCCTGAACCAACGTTCCAAAGATACACCACAACACCTCAGACCGTAAGATTTTCATCTCACACATCTGTTTTGAACTTTGCCGCAGCAGCTCTCCATGTTACACCACGCATGTGAGCCAACCCATCCTGAACCAACATCCCAAGACACACTACAAACTTCAGATCCGAAAATTTTCATCTCACACATCCCTGTTTTGAACTTTGCCGGAACAACCCGGAACAGATTACACCACGCATGTGTGCCAACCCTGAACCAACATTCCAAAGACACACCACAAAACCTCAGACCCTAAGATTTTCATCTCACACATCTGTTTTGAACTTGGCCGGAACAGCTCTCCATGTTACACCACGCATGTGAGCCAACCCATCCTGAATAACGTCCCATGACACACTACAAACTTCAGATCCAAAAATTTTCATCTCACACATCCCTGTTTTGAATTTTGCCGGAACAGATTACACCTCGCATGTGTGCCAACCCTGAACCAACGTTCCAAAGGTACACCACAAAACGTCAGACCCCAAGATGTTCATCTCACACATCCGTGTTTTGAACTTTGCCGGAGCAGCTCGCCATATTATATACACCACGCATGTGTGCCAACCCTGAACCAACGTTCCAAAGATACATCACAACACCTCAGACCGTAAGATGTTCATCTCACACATCTGTTTCGAACTTTGCCGGAGCAGCTCTCCATGTTACACCACGCATGTGAGCCAACCCATCCTGAACCAACGTCCCAAGACACACTACAAACTTCAGATCCGAAAATTTTCATCTCACACATCCCTGTTTTGAACTTTGCCAGAACAGATTACACGCATGTGTGCCAACCCTGAACCAACGTTCCAAAGATACACCACAAGACCTCAGACCCAAAGATCTTCATCTCACACATCCGTGTTTTGAACTTTGCCGGAGCAGCTCTCCATACTACACCACACATGTGGGCCAACCCATCGTGAACCAACGTCCCAAGAGACACTACAAACTTCAGATCCGAATTTTGTCATCTCACACATCTGTTTTGAACTTTGCCGGAACAGCTCCCCATGTTACACCACACATGTGAGCCAACCCATCCTGAACCAACGTCCCAAGACACACTACAAACTTCAGATCCGAAAATTTTCATCTCACACATCCCTGTTTTGAACTTTGCTGGAACAACCCGGAACAGATTACACCACGCATGTGTGCCAACCCATCCTGAACCAACGTTCCAAAGACACGTCACAAAACCTCAGACCCCAAGATTTTCATCTCACACCCCCCTCTCTTGAACTTTGCCGGAGCAGCTCTCCATGTTACACCACACACGTGAGCCAACCCATCCTGAACCAACGTCCCAAGACACACTACAAACTTCAGGTCCGATTTTTTTCATCTCACCCATCCCTGTTTTGAACTTTGCCGGAATAGCTCGCCATGTTACACCACGCATGTGAGCCAACCCATCCTGTACCAACGTCCCAAGATACACCACAAACCACTAATGACTCAATTGAGCAAACCCATCCTCATCCAACCTCCCAAGATACATCTCTCAAAATTTCCATGTTCACTGATAGGCGGCAAAAATGTCGCCCTTGCAAGAAGACACGGTCGAATGAAAACCTGTGTGCGACCTTCAGGCCAAAAATGGTTCTCAGTAAGCTTCAGTGGCTTAAACTACCTGCGCCCAACCTATTGCAAAAATGCTCTCAAGAGGTGTTCCCTCAGCTGAAATCCTTTGGCTTCATGGCTATTTGAAGTCAAAATTCTAAAATATGCAAAAAGGGACCAAAAGCTAAAAAGCTGAGGCCTAACATTCTTGATGCTAAATTTGGCTGAAATCTGGCAAAAAAAACAGGCTCCAGCTCCTGGTTTTCAGCCAGGAGCCCCAAACGGGGATTGAAATTTGAAATTCGGATAGGCTCTGACTCGGCAGCTTCGCTTCCGATCGTGAAGTTGAGCTCCACGGCGCAGCTGCGGCCTTTGTTTGTTTCAGGGCTATAGGAAAGAAGAGCCAGGCCGGGGCCGGGTTGCCGGGATTCTGAGGCGTCGGCAGAGGTAGACTTCATTCTCCCCGTGGTAGGTTGGGTGGTATAACCTACCCGGGGGAAGTGCTCGCCACATTCCTGGACGTCGTTTGCTTCATGGATCATGGACGGGCAGTATATCCTATTATATATATATATAATTATATATATATATATATTATATATATGTCCGATGGCTAGTCGTTGTCCTCGCAGCAGCCAGAGAACGCTTCCAGGAAAAAGACCTGGGCGCGAAATTGGTTCCCTCTTATTTTGTCTGTCTGTGTTTCGTTCTAGGTGCGAAAATCTTGCGCGGCTTTTGGATGTAAGCTTGCCCACGGCCATGTCTGGAGGCAGCCTCAGTCGGACAGGGGCGTGCTTGCACGCATCCAGGTCCAGGGGCTGTTTCGAACCTGCTTTTTTATTCAAGGATGTTCGCAGAAAAAATTGAGCGCAGTCGATCTTATGCTGCCAAGGATCGGCTTCGCCACGGCTTTGTCAAGTTGTTTCGGAGTTTTCAGGTTTGCTGCAGCGATCGAAACACGGCGTTGCTTTCGCCTTGCGCGGCAAGACTTTGCATTCGGAACTGTCGACGGCCGACGTGCATGCTTCACTGTTCACAGGACGTGGGAGAGGTCTCTTCTTTTTTTTCAGCGGCCTGCGCGGCGTGCTGCGTCTGTCACCTTTGTGACCAGCGGGGATTTGTACACCCGGGTCTGCGCATGGAAGAGGACCCGGCCGCCGCGGCTGCTGTATAAATATAGAAAATACAGATAGATAGATTTACATTTGACTTGACTGACCCTTTACCATCATAGTCATAGACAACATTTTCCAGTATCGGGGGCTACTACCCCGAAACTGAAAAATGCGCCGTCTATCCCCTTTGTTTCTCTCTTTGATGTTTGTCAGCCCTTTGCCGGGGGGTCAGGTCCATTCGATCTTGGACCTGCCCCCCTCCGCCTGGGCACTTGTACCACGTCATGGACAAAGGGGTTTATTGATGACCCAGGCGGAGGCTCTTCCCTTCGTCTAGTGGATACAAGTGGGGCTCCATAACACCATAAAAATCCTTCATAAAATTGTTCAAGCTCACCTAAGGTGAACACAGCACGACCAATGTCGAGGAACTATGAAAGAAAAAAATGCAATGAAAACCAATGGAATTAGGTGGTGTTGCTGAAAAAATGGATGAATATTTTCACGGGGCCTATATTCAATGTATGTAGTTCTGCAAGGAATTGGGTTTCTTCCATGTATAAGGGTGTATATTATATACGTAATTTCCTTTGGGGAGCAGCAACCCTGGATGCCTGCAGTTCCAAAACTAGAAAGTTTCAACCAAAAAAACAAAATGATCAATTTCTTTTTATATTGAATTTACAAAATGATTTTTTCAAGCTCACCGAAGGGTACCCCCACAACCGGCGTCGTAGAATTATGAAAAAACTATTTTGCGATAAAAACCAATGGAATTAGGTGATGTTCCTGAAAAGGGGATGGATATGTTCACTGGGGACCTATATTCTATGTATGTAGTTCTGCAAGGAATTGGGTCCCTTCATGTATAATTATTATATACGTAATTCCCTGTGGGGAGTAGCAACCCTGGATGTCTGAAGTTCCTAAAGTAGAACGTTTCAACAAAAAAACAGGTCCCCCGAAATGATCAATTTCTTTGAATATTGTATCTAAAAAATGAAGTTTTCAAGCTCACCGAAGGGTGCCCCCCACGACCGGTGTCGTAGAACTATGAAAAAAAAACATGTTGCAATGAAAACCAATGGAATTAGGTGGTGTTCCTGAAAAATGATGAACAGTTTCACTCGGGGACCTATATTCTATGTATGTAGTTCTGCAAGGAATTGGGTCTCTTCCATGTATAATTCCCTTTGGGGAGTAGCAACCCTGGATGTCTGAGGTTACTAAACTAGAACATTTCAACAAAAAAACAGGTCCCCCTTTGAATATTGTATCTAAAAAATGATTTGTTCAGGCTCACTGAAGGGTACCCCCCACGACCGGCGTCGTAGAACTATGAGAAAAAACACTGTTTTGCAATGAAAACCAATGGAATTAGGTGGCGTTCCTCAAAAACCGATGAATCTTCCCCTTGGGACTTAAATTCTGTGTATGTAAGCAAGGAGTTCAAGCTCCCATGGTGGGATCCGACGTGAATGCCTTCGAGATTTGCCTAGATTGTAAAAAGAAACTGATGAAATTGAACTAATTTCGCGGTAGCAGTGGAAAAAACCATGGTGAGAGCGTATGGTTTTTGGTGGAGCTGAATTGTTGGAGGATGGACCCCTCAAAATAAACGATATTCTATGTACCCGCATTTCTCAATTTGGTCTCGGCCTTGAATTCCGACATATTCTAAGAACTAGTACCTGCCTATATATATATACATACATATTATGTGTATGTGTATATATATAATGTATAAACCATGAAAAACCCAGCCTCAGAGTCGTGCTCATAGCGAAGGGCCTGTGGCGGTGCTTTCAGGAACTCTCAGATGGGACCCTCGAACCTGGAAGTCAGTTGGTTTTTCATCTGCACCATGTGCTTGGGAAACTCTCTGGGACCCTCTGGCACACACAAACGAGGCAAAAATGGAAATCCCCTATCAATGGAGGTTTATAGCTGGGAAAATCATCCATAAATGGAGGTTATACCATTAGCAGCCATTAGTTTATGGCTGGGAAAAATAATTTTGTCGCCATCGCCATGTTTGACCTGCACCAGTTGCAGCAGGTAGAGCTGTAAATCCATGTCGCTGGCGCTCTCTAGGCGCTGCCTCGGCGATGGTGACTCCAACAATATCATGGGGATATACTGTAATGTTTTCCATTGGAGGTCTACTGTGGTTGCATATGGATGCATTTTGTATAGAGGTTCTTTTCACCAACAATATGAATGTGGAAAACCCTGGCTGCCATAAACCTACCATGACTTGTGGAAAACCCTGGCTGCCACAAACCTACCATGACCGGGGGTGGTATATCATACCCATAGAAATGGTGATGACTTGGGGATGGTTATTTATTATTGGGTTTGCCACATTAAAATGATTCATAATGATTCTTTGGGGTACCCTCTGGTAATTTAACATAGCTATTGAAAATTGCCATTTATAGTGGATTTTCCCATTAAAAATTGTGATTTTCTATAGTTATGTAAACGTCTACCAGAGGGTATGTCCCCCAGAGCTTGGCTAACCCAACACAGCGTGACGTCTGACTTCCCGCAAACCTTGGAAGTCCTGACGAAAAACAGCAGGACTCACAGCGACAGATGTTTTTCATTGCTTTTCATGGCTTTTCATGGCTTAATTACCGTACCCTCTGGTAAACTAACATAACTATGGAAAATCACCATTTATAGTGAGTTTTCCCATCAAAAATGGTGATTTTCCATAGTTATGTTAAATTACCAGAGGGTATCAAATTTGGCAGTCTATACACAGGTTCGACTATATAAATACAGAGTATATCGTATGGATTATAACAATGATATTGTTTGTAATATCCCATAGTATATACCATATGAGTTATATTAAATTACAAATAATATCATATGTGGAATTATTAATGATTATGACATCTCATAAGATTCATATATCTAACTTCAAAGTCCGAAAAATCACATTCAAGAATTAATAGATTAGTTAATATCGTGTATATTACATATATTAATAGTATATCATAATAATATCCATAGTAATTATATATCCATAGTACGAGTAGATTACATCTATTCAAAATCCAGATTATTCATATTATACTATAAAATATGGATAATGAATAAGATGGATGTCTATATATCCATCTATTTTTACATATCATATTATATATTATAATTCATATTCATATATCCACATAATCCGTTTTTTTCATACCTATATTACATAATAAATGGTATATCCATAGTAATTGTAAATAGTATATTATCCATATTATTATCCATATTATTATCCATATTATATCCATATTATTCATATGTATATATATATATATCTGGTTGGTGGTTTCAATCCCTCTGAAAAATATGAAAGTCAGATTGGATCATCAGAACAACTATTGGGGAAAACAAAATTCATGTTCCAAACCACCAACCAGATACATATCCATAATATATCCATAATATATCCATATATTATCCATATAATCCATATATTATCCATATATTATCCATATATTATCCGTATTTCATATCTATATTACACTATAAATGGTATATCCATAGTATATCCAAAGATAACGCTGGGATGGCCATGGAATTAATCGAACCGCTCCTTGCTGAGCAGTTCCAGGGCATCTTCGATCTCCACCGGACTCCAGTGACCTCCGCAGCTCAAAACGAATCGACGAATCGAAAACGTCGACTCGGAAAAAGGAGTGCCACTGATGACACGTTCAGCACATGTAATTTATGTAATCTTTAAATATATATATCATTTATGTAATACTTATGTATGTTATATGTTATTTGATGGATATCTATGTGTGTTTTTATCTATGCTTTATGTAAGTTGATGGACTTTTATGTATATTACTCTTGATCCAATGTTGATTGATCCAGGTTCTTAATCTAGGTTTATTAATCGACAAAGACGTCGTCATAATGAGTCGTCTGCCGTTGGCTCTGTTTGGGACTTGCTTCAATCATCAAGATTCGCCTTTGTGAAAGAGCTTGTTCTCCCATCTATGAACTATGAACATGTCTAAAACAAAATAAAACAATTACTTCCATGTATTTCCGCAATCTAGCCAGGTATTCCCATCTAATCTCCTCTTGGCATTACTAAAATCAGGTCATGTGGCTAGCCAAGATTGTCATGTTTACCATCCCCCAGGCCCCGTGTCGTCATCACCATTTTTGAACGAGGTGGTATGTTTTTCCACCATTCCCAGTCATGGCTGGGACCATGATAAAAACCAAAGAATTAACCGTCATTCACCATTATAAACCACCATGGTAGAAAACCCAAATTAGCTTATTAACCATTATTAACCATTATTATTCCATCATTATTAACCATTATTAGCCATTTACCCACACTATGGCATTCCATTCTTCCGAAAAACATGGTGTACAAAGGTAACCCGAAACGCCTAAGAGCTCAATGGCCTGGCTCCTCTCCTGGGCGACGTATGCGCTGGGCCGGGCCAAACGTTTGAGGTAGAATTTCAGCTTGATGTCAAACGTGTGGAGATGTATAGTATGTACAATAAATATTGGATAGATAGATAGATAGATAGATAGATAGATAGATAGATAGATAGATAGATAGATAGATAGATAGATAGATAGATAGATAGATAGATAGATTAGGATAGATAGGACAGATAGGATAGATAGGATAGATAGGATAGATAGGATAGATAGGATAGATAGGATAGATAGGATAGATAGGATAGATAGGATAGATAGGATAGATAGGATAGATAGGATAGATAGGATAGATAGGATAGATAGGATAGATGGATAGATAGATAGATAGATATATGAATCCAATATAAAAAAATGTTGCAACAGGCTTGAGAACAGGAGTGCCCTCCTTGTCTTGACACGTGGAAGTTGGTTCTAAACACAAATATCAACTCCCCAAAATGTATAGTTTCATGGCGCGGAATAGTTACTGAGAATGACCAGTTTTATGGGTCCGTTGATTCCTAAGTTTTGACATGCGCCCGACTAGCACAGTAATGTAGCCATGTTCATCCCGCTGGTGTAAGCCACTTCTACATGGGATGCAGCCCAGTGAAATATCAACGGCTTATTAACCAGTTCCTAACTAAGAGGTACATTGGCTATATCTGGGACAATCATGAATCACATGTTATGATACTGAAGAAACAGTTTGTCCAAACCCAAACGAAGACGCACATCCAGATCATCCAAGCACAGCCAGCTGTTCTGTCCTCCATGTCGACCCAATTCACTGCGTGAAGGAACTTGGTGAGGGCACCAGGTTGATCCTGAGCTGCGGGCTCAAAGCCACATACCAAGAAACCAGTTGTCTGTAATGATCACACCATACCCCAAACAATGTTCATGTTTACATGACATCTATATATTATCTATTAAAACCTACTGAATGCTCTTTGAAATTTAACATATTTAACACGTCATGTACAGTAATCTGAGTTGAACCAAGGAGCCGTGAGACTCCAGCGGAAGCGGAAGAGCAGGTCTTTCTCTTCTGGACCTTCAACACGACTCCATGGAAGACTCAACATTGAAACAGCCCAAGGAAGACCCAAGGATGGGGGAAGTGCTCCAAAAGTATCGGCCTTTGAATGATTTGGATCGCTAGAAATGGAGGAAGAATATGGAAAATCAATGAACATGTCCAGCTTTTTGGCTAAAAATCTAAAATTGTGAAGCAGTTCGATCAGAAGAAAAATGTGGAATCGCTGTTCAATACATTTCAATACATTCTGGGTCGCCGTTGGGGATGATGGGAACGCTCCAAAATTCAAGGCGCGTCTACTTACCCCTTATTTATCCTTATTCACTATGCCAAATGGCTGGGAGAGTTCTCGGAGAGTTTCCCACAGTTCTGTGCCAAGCTGCTCAGGTGGCGTCTGGGTCGTCGCACTAACTCAGCCTGGCTTTCCATTGACAGCAGCGGATCCTTGACCAAAAACTGACTAGTCAGGGCTATGAATTACTGTAACATCTTAAGTTACGAAGATCGTCAAATAAGTGCTGTCTCTATGGTTCTGAAGCCATAACAATGTTCTGCGAATCACAAAAAAAAACTTAGTAATGGGTCAATCATGGTGAATCTGTATATTCATGTTTGTATATATATATATATTCTATGTATTTTTATATATATTTATTGAGCCATTTCCACATAAGATAACTCCACTGGTGACCCTTGCTGTGACCCACACGAGGCGGCGCAGCTCGTCTGCACTGGGCCGTGCATCCCTGTCCTACGGCTGCAATATATAAAAAGGAGGTCCTTGAGATGGGGGACCCCACAAAATCCATGAAATTAGTCATGTAGAATGGGAAAAAAGAACACTGGTTTAAGATGGGGTAAGCGAAAGACAGGTAACCCAGGTAAGCTCGTTTCACCCCGTGAAAAATCCACCATTTCTGGATGGCCAAAAAAAAGGGGTTTCTCCCATCTTGAGACGAACCCATAATCACAAGTACCTCTAAAATCCAACACAGAACCCATGTTGAGACATTATCACCAATATCAGGAAAATCATGGAATGGTGATAAATGTATCAAACCCCATATTGGTGATAATGTTTATGTACCATATAATCTTCCCAAGCCCCATTTTTCATATGTTCCTTTGATCAATGGACCCCCGCCATGTCCTTCACCACGGCACGTGACTGGCCACGTCCCAATCGCTTGCGTTTCAGCACCGCAGGGTGTTCCAACGAGGCACCCTGCAAGAGTCAACCGTTTTTTCAGATCGGAGAAGCCAGGAATATCCTAGGAATTCTGGAAGATCACCAGGGTTACTGGATAAGTTACTGCTTAAGTTACTTAATTCTTTAGTGGGTGGAAAACGTGTTTCAAGAACCCTTTTTCAAAAGTCTCTGGAATCATCATGATAGGATAGAAAATAACACATGTTTGAAACCAATAACCAGTATATAATAAGCAAAATGAAACACATGGGATCAAACAAAATCTGATTGGGACCCCCAAAAAAGTCATCAGCTGCTATTGAATTGTTGGGCTGCCGCCCAAATAAACAAAACAACATGCATGGCTTGTTAATGCAGGGTCGACATTAGTCTCGGATACCCGGCAAACAATATTCTCCAAAAAATATCCACTTTAAAATGACAATCATCCATGAAGGTTATTTTTTTTGTATGCACCTATAGAGTTTCAACAACTCTTTGGGCCATCCCATGTCATGCGCCACCCCACCTCGTCCACGAAACATTTGAAGCTTCGTCCTGTCATGTCACGGTGCTGTTGCAATTGGGTGGTCCTTAGGGATTACTGCAATCATCCAATTGTCTGTCTAATGGAATTTTCCAAGATCCAATAAATATATAAATATATAAATACGATTTTAGTTGTATCAGTTGTACCAGCTTTTGGCCACTGCTCACCTGATCCTTAAGATGGGAGTCAAATCTTAAGGCTGACTCAAGCACCGCACCTTGGATCGGCGCTCCGGAGCCCAAAGAAGTGGCCACGCTGGGGATGGGTTTCAGCCTCAGTTGTCATCAGTTGTCACTTGCCCAGTGTCTTTCCAACCATGAAATGCCATTGGATGCCTTGGGGTCAGCAAACGTTCCATGGATTGCAGTGAAGTTTTTGAATTCACTGGCGACCCCGGCAACCAACTCACACCTTTCAACGCATCCAGGTCCTTTTGGTCAATGTCCTGTAAGTGGAACTCCAATGGTTCAACTGAAGTGTGAGGTCGCTCACCAGACCCCGCAACAAAATGTGTGCAGTTGAACATGTCGACCAGACCGGAAGTCACACAAGCAAAAACAAAACAGCACCAAACGCTATATACAGTGCGATTGGATTCCTGCACCCTGGGGAAGAAAAACATCAAACACAATCAAGCAACCAACGAAAAGCAAGTTTTTGAAAAAAGAAAGACACTTGAAACTATCAAGTGGTTGGGAAACTCAATTCGCAGTTCCTCAATTTCCTTCCCCCAATTCAATGCCAAATAACTAATGCAAAATATGGATACCACCATCGCTTCACCACCAATCTCCTGAGATCTGGGAGCTGAGAGCACTCCCACTGGAAGCTCCAAGTCCTGACCATAGGAAGACCTAGCGGAGCAGCTCAATTTCTGGCAACTGCTGCAGAAAAGGGATTAAACTACCAAAAATTGGGGAAGATCTAGACATATGATGACAAATGACACTAAATCGACTAAACGGCCATCAGAAATGGGGCCGTTTGCAAAGCGAAGCCTTCAAGGACTCCGGGGGTACAAAGTGAGAGCACGGAAGGGGGCGGCAAAAAGATCTGCGGCTGGATTCTGTGGATGCTGAAATCATTGTTGCAAGATGGGCCACCATGGAATCATGGATCTACTGTAGTTGGACCACCAACATCAGAGCACAAGGAACCCAACTCCGCAAATACCACCGAATGTGGCAGTTCTGGTAGCTGCAAACTCAACCTCAGATGCCCACAGGTGGGTGCACGCATTGAAATCCCGCCCAAGTGTTTGGAGATGGAGAGAGAGAGAGAGAGAGACAGAGAGACAGAGAGACAGAGAGACAGAGAGACAGAGAGACAGAGAGACAGAGAGACAGAGAGAGAGAGAGAGACACAGCGCATTGATGATGCCATAGCACAGAACCCACAGAACATTGGAGGATATGCCTTGATTCTCACCGTACAAGGGACAATGACACCTGCCGAAGTTTGCGAATGCCAAGACTCCCCGCCATGGAAGGCCACTACTTTCCAGTGCAGTTTGCACTGTGCCTGGCGCAGGTCAATGCAGCAATACCGCCAGCAGGGGGAAAAAATGGAAGTTAATGCTGTCCCAGGGACCACCCCCTAACAAATATGAAAGGCATTTCGGATGAAACATGAAAGTTCGTCAGCGGTCAAAATAAAAATTGTTGAAATTTCCGCCACTAACATCCAAAACATCCAAAGGTTCTCAGATCCCCATTTGATAATGGTTGAAATCTATCAGAAAACATCAAAAAAAAACATTACACCGGCAAGGGACCCCAAACAGTGTGAAGGGCAGGAAGTCGATGTACCAGATACAAGCAACAGAAATTATGGGCCCTCTTGAGGATGATTTCCACAGGTTTTCACAAGATCTTCTCACAAGGACCTGCACGAGATCGTGCAAGGACCTCTTAGAGGATTTCACCAGGATCTCTAAAAGAGCTTCTCACAAGGAATTGTAAAAGACCTTGACCAAGATCTTCATGCCAGGACCCCGAAGAGAATCCTGTGAGATCGTCGTAAAGGGCCTGCTGCTGCTGGAGAGGATCGTACAAGATCTTGATACAAGAACCTCCAAGATCTTCACGCAAGGACCTCTTAGCGAGGGTCTTACCACGGTCCCACAAGATCTCCTGACAAGGAACTGTACAAGATCATGCAAGACCCTCTTAGACAGCACTTCACCAGGATCTTCACAAGATCTTCTTACAAGTGCCTGTGCAAGGTTATGCAAAGACCTCTTAAAGGATGTCAGCGGGATCTTCAAAACATCTTCTCACAAGGACCTCTACAAGACCTTGGTCAAGTTCGTCATAGAAGGACCTTCCGGAGAATTCATAAGATCTCTTTACCAGAATCTGAGGGAATCAGCTAATATCAGCACCAGAGCACAAGAGAGCGATCAGACATGCACAAAGTGCCGAGATGTTTGAGCGAGCGAAATCAAATTTGCACCGCGCCACAACGAGAGCGATCTGACACACACACACAAAACATTACCCACATCACGAAAATTGAAACTTGAAAATATCAAAACCGATGTTTTACCTAGGTCTCAGCCACTTTTTTGTCGAGGTGTACAAAGTACTGCGCCTGCCACGGAAAATTAACTTGAGGCATCCGAAGTTCTACACCTGCCACACGGAATCATCATCACGTCCAAAATAGAAAATGACGAGAGATTCACAAAACGAGACCCTTTCAAAACGCCGTCCAAGTTCACATCAAATATTAAAGCACCTCTCATTTTGACCCACGCCTGCCAACGTTTTAGCAGCGTCCAGAAAGCGTCACGCCTGCCACACGGACGAAACAGTGTCCGATGTCCTGCGCCGGTCACGCAAAACAACGTTTGAGACCTCGAATGTCCCCAAAGTGCCACGCCTGCCACAAAAAATGGACGCGGCTCAAAAAACAAGCATGGCGCACTGATACAACGAGACCTTCGGAAGAGACAAATCCGTTACTCACATTTTGTGCCAGCCTGCGCAGTCGAAATGCACATGGACATATTGCAAGGGAACTCTTGTGCGAGAATTTACAGCGAAAAAGCCACAGGCCAGATGGAGCACCTTGATCTAACCCCGGCCCTTTAGCATCTACCGTAAGAACCCTTTACATTGCTTGGGGAATCAACACAAACAGCCGCCTGAGAAGGTCTCCTCACTCTCTAAAGTGGAAGGAATCCAGCCTGTCAAGGTAATCCTTGTGAATCTCCAGCTCACATGGGTATATATAGATAAAACATTATAAAACAAGAAGAATGCAGGTACTATGATGGACCCAGAAAATTCTGGACCGAAATGGCACGATGGACCCACCAAACTTGTTGCATGGTTTGTGGCATTGAAGGCTGTTGAACCATCCGTTCACCATGCATGTCGGAGCAGCGTCCTCAGCGTGCACAGGGTCGTCCCTATACCCTACAACTCGAAGACTGGAAGGTTTTGGCCATCAAACTGCCTTTCAAAGAGGTTGTAGCCATAAACTTCATAAACCTATCGCTATTCCAAATTTCCCATATTCTCCATGGTATATTTACCTACAAAACTGGGTCAAATGTGCGGTCCACATTGGTCATGTCCATTAAGAAGCCACCGGCCTCTGTCCTTGAGCGACAAGAGTTCTGCCAAGCGGAGGGCCTGGCTGAGAGGACATGTTTTTTCTACTACATTAACATTAACATACTGTATCATATTATAGTGAATGACATATACAGTAAGTGACATTATAATATCATATAAAAATATATTCACTAATATTACATTAACATTCGACCATTATCACATGTCATAGGATAATAGTTTACAGTCACCGACAGAATTATTAAAAAAAAAACGTTTCAATTTACAGGCGCCGCCTGTCTATGATAGAAAAGTTACGAACCTTGTTTTTTCCATAATTATTGTTTCCATATTTTTTTCCATAATTCTGTCGGTGACTGTATGTCCATCGATTCGCAATTTGAATGCATTTTAAGGGGGAATATTGAATTATAGAAAATATGTGTCTAAAGATCTGGTATATGCCCCTAAGTCTTCCATTGATATACATAATATCATGTGATGTTCGCAATTTGAATGCATTTTAAGGGGGAATATTGAATTATAGAAAATATGTGTCTAAAGATCTGGTATATGCCCCTAAAGCCTGCCATTGATATACATAATATCATGTATACGGGTATGTACATATGCGGGATGTTTCCTTTTGCCAAGCCACCAATTGGGTTGATACTACATACTTGCATTTGCATACATATTTCCATAACCCCAAAAAAAAACGGGTTTGAATTGTGGATCCATGACATGTCCAACAGGTGGAGCCCCAAACATTAATTATGGAAAAAATAATTATGGAAAACCGGTCAATCTGCCCTAGCCCCCTGATTTCACAGGAAAAATCAATTATGGAAATAATGGCCACCTCCAAGAATTATGGAAAAAAAAGGTTCGGATCACTTCCGGGATATTTTGAACCCTTATGGGGAAAAATCCAATTATGGAAAAATCGGACGCAGGCGCCGCCTGTCTAAGTTGAACGTTTTTTTTTCCATAATTCTGTCGGTGACCATAATGTAATATTAAGATTAACATATTCATATTCAATACATCTACTTAAATGCTATTTCAATATATTTCAAAGATGTCCAAATCTCACTGGGTGCTTGGAAAAACATGGCAAACATGGCATGTCCTTGGAAGTAGCTGATTAAGCCCTCCCACCAAACAACTACTTCCGCTGGCTAACACAATCGCGTCCAAGCTATGGCAGCTACGGATGTGTGGTAAGTTAACCTCATGGATTACTAATTAGTTCAAAGGAAGTGGCTGTTTGACAATCCGCTAATCTTCCACTCGACCATTCGGCACTTCTTCAAACCCTGGAATCTATACAATCTATACGCGTCTGTGTAGCGACACCCTGATGCAAAAACCAAGCATCTACCTCCCAATTTCAACCCTTTGTGGTGCATCCACCTCATAAATATATATATATATATGATATGTATATATATATGATATATGGGAATACTATTCTACAGCGATAGAAAAATGATGAAAACTGGGCATACATCATGACAGATGGAAGTTTCCTGAAATGGTGGTACCCCCAGTTCTCATCCAGTTTATTTTCATGGATTTTCCATGATTTTCCAGTATAAACTGACCAGCTTTTGGGGATCCCCCATGGCTTTGGAAACCCAAAACCATGGGCCCCGGAGACCTCTTCCAACTCTCGCGCTGCGTGCCCAGCACCGGGAGCACCAGTGGCCTCGGAAAATTGGAGTTCCCGGTGGGAAAATTTGGTACATTTTACAGCATTTCTACTACGTTTGTGTTGTATGAAATGGGGGGTTGGTGGGGTAATAACGTTCTTGTCTTATGTATGTTGATGAAATGGTTCTTTTAATACGCTCTGGCCTTGTTCTTGGAACGTTTGACACGCCCTTGATGCTACGCTTTGATAAAACAAGCTGACTATGCCCTCGCCATTGTCTGAGATGCTCAATCGCTCCCAGCCAAAGCCAGGGCCATGTAGCCACCCCCTTACAAGGCACATGCCGTTTTCTATCACACCCTATCATCTGGGTATGGCTCAAATTTTGGCACTAATGGGAACGCTGAATTTTGAATAATTTTGATATGTTTGGTACTGACTGAACCGTCCCTTTTCGTGCAGGCCAACGGTTTTAGTTTTGGCCCCCCATCTCTGATCATTCTTCAGGCTCTGCATCAGCTCACCCCGTACAGCTGAAGGCCGACCCAAATCAACGCTGCTCCGCTGCCCGCTGTTCTTTTTCGCAGCTTGCTCCGCTAGAGGCTGCGAAAGCTAAGCAATTAGGCCACTTTGTGCCCCATTTCATCAGACATCATCAGGAAAGTCCATCGCTGACTTTCCCGTGACCTCCCAGGCTGCTGTGTCCCAGAAAAAACAAGCGCTTCACCAGAATTTGAGGCCAGAGTGCTTGAGACAAGATGGACATTAACCTTGCCCACCAAGCCAGCAAATATTGCTTTGAATCTTTGAACATCTCCCCATTTGGCGGACCATGGATTACCCCAGCCCATCTCAACCAATTTCTCCACATGTCTGCCCTGGCCTCAATACAGAAGCAGCCGCACCAGTTCCTGCGCTTTAAGATCGCTGCAGTTGAAGCCAGTGACACCTCCTGAGGTGTGCAGCTGGACGAAGGATCCGTCCACGATGTGTTGCTTCCGAAAGACCTGGGAACAGAAAAGGGGTACCCGGTACCCTTGGATCAGGTGCCACCTGACAACCTCACCTCAGAATAGGTGAAACATGGCGAAATGAAGATGTACAGTAGTGTGAGGATATATGAGAAGATGAAGAGGGATACGAAGAGGAATCAACCCAGCTGCAGAAAAAGGATCTCATCCAAAACAAAAACCCTGATTTGGGCCCCCAAGCTGAGCCCCCAGTCCACCTAGCCAAGTGGCCGCGTGTCCAACCTTCCACCCAGCCCACCTGGGGAATCAGAATGACCCAGGATAAGGCATTGATTAATCAGAAAATTAAACGGGTATGTTCAAAAATGGTGGATGGGTTCCCCAATCATCCCAATCTATGGCCGCTTGAAGATGGGGAAAATGGTGTGCTGAGATTCTCTAAGCCATTTGATTTTAGGGCTGCCCCATTGTGGACACAAAGAAATGCCACTTCGTCATGCCACTTCGGCCGCCTTGGCCCTTTCGTGGCCAAGGCACACTCCAAAGCCAGCACCAACCAAAGAGCACAAATCCAGGCCACCCTTGCCTTGTTTGCATCCATTTATATCCATTTCATTGGTGAAAATGGCTGGAAACTGGGAAGGAGAGAAGCTGTGGGTGTTTCAGGTCCAGAAATCTTCAAGTCGCGCCAGTCTCATGAAGTTCCCGATGTGGCCTGTAACTTGATGATTAGTTCGGGGATTATATATGCTAAACCCTAAATCCTAAACCCAAAAGCCCTAAAACCTAAACCCTGAACACTTTGAATCACCAGAGAACTCTGTGTATGTGCAGTATTTTCATGTATTTTCTGCAATCTCTCCTATCTTATTCAACACGTCCTCAATGTTGGGCAACACGCGGCTGTGATGAGGTCAAGTCGCTATGGACCAGGCCATACATGGATCGGCGGGCCTTGGGCGACAGCTTAGCTACAAAGTTTTACCAGGACTCAAAGGTATGGTGTGATGCTAAAATGAAGATTGGTTGTCATTTGCTGTTCCAGAAATGAGGGACACCCCAATGCCATTTTTTGTGTTTCGTAAATTTGGGTGAATTGAATCATATTAAATCTTTAGACAACATTCAACAAAAAACTCCGATGTTTGGAACACGTATAATCTCACATAAACTGCCGTTACGCCCTGGCAAAGTCGCCCTGCTGCAGCCGAAGGGGCTAACCAGGCTGAGACAGCAGCAGTGAGGCCAGTACAGCTGAGTGCTTTCGGCATATCCGTAGTGGAGAAGGACAAATCCGTATCACCTAGGGAAGATCATGTCCAAAGCGGGAGGTGCCTATGTTCGATACTCCAAAACCCACCAAAACATGTTTTCCTCCAGTTCGCCAAGTCCCACAGCAACACCATCCATCATTACCACAGCTGGCCGCCATCCATGGTTCAAAGTCCAGAGAGGTGTTTCGCACATCAAGTACATCAAATTACATCAAGACCAAGCGTCGGATGGTGATGCTGGAGACCATATTTCTGGGGATGATCTTCATATTTTGCTCTTCCCTGTCCGTGAAGCGCAGCGCACGCTCGCCTTCGAAAAAAGTCATGGTCCTATGGTCCAATCTGGTGACCAAGTTGCGATATCTTGCGATTGTTTGGAGGAAGATACTCATGACCCATGGTATCACGTAGGAATTTCAAGTGACATCCAAAAAAATCAGACCTTACAAACAATGAATCCTTCTCTTGCCAGCACCTAGTAGATATCATGGAACGCTTCTCTGTGAAAAGTTGAAGTTTCGGCAAAACCCTCCGAAAACTCAAAAGCACCGAAACACCGAAATTCGCAGGCATCGCTGGTATGGAATCATCATATGTAGACACGTACATATACTGTAGATCTAAATACATAAAATCCCTTCTTCCGTTCATTAGACATCCCAGGTTTGGCATGAAAGCTGAGTGGCTTATGTAGAGCTGATAACTTCCTGGCATCCCAGTGATGGACAGGTCAAAGAGGAAAGGTGGTGCTGCCATGGCTGCGAGGAAATCGATCTGGAAATCGTGCACTCTGATGGCTGCGAGGATCGAAAAAAAAAAAACTAGATGTCAGTGGGAAATCGAATGAAATCGCAGAGGGTTTGCCGGAACATGATCTTTGGATGCATCATTTCCATTCATTTCCCAAGGAGCCAACAAGTGGGCCTGTTGAAACATGGAGGAGCCTCTCCAAGATTGGAAGCAGAGCTATGCGGAGTCATCTTTCGATTCAAGGACCGACCCCTATCTATCTATATAATCTATATATATATATTTATACATTCAATCAATTCATTAATTAGTTAACTAATTATACATATATATATATACATAGATACCACATACTATAATAAATGAGTATTGTAATATATCATAATAATATAAGTTTCATTAATATGTACTATATATTACTATATAACATCCAAATGAAACACCAGAACGCCAGAACACTGCTTGGTGTGAAGTGCAGCAAGCTGATCGCAGAACTTGGATGCCGCACCTGCACCCATGCCACTGCCGCCTGGTTGGAATCCATGCAGCTCTCGGTCGCGCCTCTGGTTGGACATCATTTTTCTATATGGCAGTGTGTCAAAACCTTGTACCCCTGGTGAACATCAAAATAGCTGGGATTTATGGATGTTCATCCCCCTAAAAATGGTATTAATAGGTATTGATCCATACCCATTTTTCTCGACATCTGGATGGTTCACGGTTGGCAAATTTTTAAGTGGCTCAAATTGGAATGTCAGTCAACTGGACTAACCCAGAGTTTCACTTTCCATGAGCATCAGGTGGAGTCGGCCACGGCCCTGGGCTGCCGGCCGCATGCAGAAAGGCTCTCCTGGGGCGTTGTTGCAGGTAGTTACACTTGACGGGTCATCCCGGTTAGTAACTGGTGAAATTTCCCTGGTGATCATAAGTCCCATAACCAACTGGGCTTATTCCATGTGTAAATGGGTTACAAACCCACATACTACCTAACCAGTTGCTACAGTAATTGGGGTGATTTTACAAGTATAAGTAGATCTGTGATGGTAGATCCACTGCTATCATATTGCGTTTTGATACACGATCTCATACTCAAAAGAAAACAGCCAGTCAGACTGGGGGCTGCCCATAGATCTTCAAGGTTGCAGCGGGTATACCAGCCTCAACTTTTGGAATTCCCTCCTCGGGATTACAGTACATGCCCAATACCTACTGATTTCGGGGATTGCCATTCTTGTGACATGGTGTACAGGTCTTTTTTGGGGCCGTGAACCCATATTGCCCTCCATACCCTCTGCGAACTCCAACATGGCAAATGGAAAAAAATCTGCATGAAGCTCGATAATTTACCATGTGATACAGGGGAGCTGCCAGCAGGGCAGCAAGATTGCCAATTCATATCATGGTGTTCTCTCTCCGTCTCTTGATGCTTTGAATGAATCATGTAGAATCCCTACCCTCTGGTAATTTAACAGTTAGCTATTGAAAATGGCCATTTATAGTGGATTTTCCCATAAAAAATAGTGATTTTCCATAGCTATGTTAAATTACCAGAGGGTAATTTTTATGGTTAAATATGGTTAAATCATATAAAATCATAAATTTATTTGTTAACTCACCATCTTTCAGATCTTTCATGGTGAAATCCCCTCACAAATCACCATGTTTCCGTCCTGCGACATCAACGCCACAAGCCGTTGGCCTGTCGCGTCTGTGATGTCGTTCATTCGCGTACTAAATAGAAAATGACCCAGAATATAGACATAGTTGAATCATTAATTGTATATATATAATATATGGGGGTATCTCAATAGCTGACTGTTTATAATGGAACATCCATTCCGATGTATGGATGATTTGGGGGTACCTCCATTTCAGGAAACCTCCATGTATATGTGTGTATATATATATATATACATTATATATATATATATTCAAATATGATGTATGGAACTGGTATGGTAAAAATCTCCATCCAAGGTCTTACCTTGCCGCAAGACACCGCGATCGTTGAAGAGGGGTAGCACCTGGGCGGCCATGCTGACGCAGTGGGAAATCCTCCGTATCAATTGGAGAACTGCTGAACAAAATGGTCTATGATTTATTGCCACCTAAGAAAAATCATAAGGTAAATATATATACATATTACATGCATATTATATATACATACATAACTATATATTATATATTTATTATGGGTAAAACAACGTAAAACAACAATTCATCTTCAAGTGACATGAGACGACATTGAACTGATATTTGAGATATGTTGCACGTTCTTTCCTACCTGAGACACCTGAGACACTTCGGCTATTCTGGCTTGCTGGTAGTCTCGATTTAATTTCAATTTTGATCATACCCTCTGGTAAATTCACATAGCTGGGGAAATCACCATGTTTAATGGGAAAACTCACTATAAATGGCCATTTTCAATAGCTTTTTGTATGTTTACCAGAGGGTAGCTGGGGAAATCACCATGTTTAAAGACTGTAAATCATCTGCAAATGGATCATCTTCCATAGCTATGTTAACTTACTGGAGGCCCTGGCATGAAAAGCCTGAGCTCCCTAGCCCCAGACCGAAGCATCGTTGAAGCATCGCCTACGGGTTCCACAGCTAAGAGGGGTAGATTCAAATGGCAAGGGAAAATCATGGCAAAAAAAAAGTTTTTACTTACAGAATCATCCAAGAGTATCAATAACAAAATCATATTTTCTTACCTACAGAACAATCTGGAAATGGAATGAATTGGGTATGAAGGCGAGTTTTCAGTTCCAGTTTGCCTGGAAATTATATGTGTAGCAGAATCCCAAAATAAATTTTGAGATATCATCAGGTGGACAACCTCCTGGATCTCGAACACGCCATGAGCTTCTAATGGTCTCAAAGTCCGCACGTGAAGGCATCCAAACAGGCGCTTGTCCGTATATGATCAACCTGGGAACCAGTATGTATCTAGATCATGTTTTGTCCGCTATGGTTCTTTCCAACAAATTCATTGCTTTAGGTTTTTGACATGTCTTGACTATTTTATTTCAGGGGGTTGGACAAAGCAAGCTTTGACAGTTCCGACATCCTCAAATACCCAGATCTAGCCCCAGATATTACCCATAGTTGCCTCCGAGTTGGGGTAATCAAAAAAAATGGTTTACACATCATGCTGCAACAAGGCAGGAATCATATTTCAACATACTGCCCCAAATACTGCCAGAGTGTTCCCCCACATGCTATAGGAATCAGTCAGACAAATCCCAGTTGTCAGTAAAACCTCACGGACATGTCGATAAAGGGATTTGAGTTGTACTAAGGAAAAAAAAGACTAGCCCAAATTAGGAAGAAAACACCTTGTCATACCTTGTCCATAGGGGTTTCTATCATTTTCTATCGGCTTCCGGATGCATCTGGGTGACTTCTTCCAGTTCTGGGGTTTCCGAACGCCATCGGAAGTGCAACTGACTCTCCAATGGCAGATCTCGGACCTGTGGGATGCGACTGGGGCCCTGGGTCCCGAAGCAAAGCGCTGTTGTTACGTCAACAGAGGACATGGATTAGGACCTCTAAATGGTTGTCAATCCTAGGTTCACACTATGCTTGAAACATCCAGAGGTTGTATGATGTACTTACTATATGATGTTGTATGTATTGCCCAGAAAACGCAGCAACAGCTGCGTTTTCATCATGGGTCAAGAGGCAGCAACTGTGACATTTCACCGTCACCTCCAACATCCTCCCAGGTAGATCAAGGTAGATCTAGCTACCACCCCACGTGGTACCTTGATGGCAAAGATGAACTGCTGTGGCTTGAACTTGCCACGCCTCAGTCGCTGCGAGGTACATACAAACTGGCAAGGTGCGGCAAGGTCATTACTCGGCACCCCAACATCAGTATGATTGATTTCAAGAGGCAAAAGAACAGAGTGACAGTAGAAACCATGCTTTGGCTGGCTCCAGACTTCAGATCATGTGAAAGGCCTGACCCCATTCCATCCCATGGTTAAAATATTCATGTTCTTCATATCTTACAGGAGAAGGTTCCGTCTCCCCTGTAGGTCCATCTGAAAATAGGATACCTCCATGTACCAGTACCTCCTCAATCCAGTCATTTATATTGTTTATGTTCACATTTACGTAAAAATTGCCATTTTGGGGTATAACAGGTTAGACACCATTTTTCAGACACACTCATTTCCGTTGTCAATCCCCATTTCTGATGGCAAGTTAAATTCTCCATGGCTGTTTAAATCGTCAATGGTTTCACCCGTTTTTGATGGTAAAATACTTCCGGAAAAAAAAAAAAAAACATACGTACCATGGTCAAACGAAAGTACATGGTTCATGGCCATCCATCCCTTTCACTGGAATCTGAAACTAATCAAACTCATGGGTACATAAATCCCTGTGAAAATGGATTGATGACCCCCAAGATTGCTATTCTCCCATTCTATCCCCATGAATATCGCATGAAATTCCTAAGTTTAGTGACTTAGTGGTTACCCCCTGGTACATGTAATAAAAGTCATCCTTTGCTATGGACATTCATCATGTTTATCACCGAACCATGGAACCCACACCGGCTCCAGCAGTGGGCTCCGCGGCTCAGGAGTGTCGAAGACCGCCTTGGAGGACTGCCCGGTGCAGAACACCTTGCCATCCAAGACCAGGTCCACCTGACATGGGAATCAGCCGGCAGAATCGTCCAATTAGCTTCTATATCTATCTATCTATCTATCTATCTATATATATACACATTATATATATATATTATACATGACATATTGTACATATTATACATATATAATATAAATATGTATATATACAATACATATATAGATATATACATTCAACTATTAATATATGTCAAAACTTTAAACTAAACACAGTAAATTGTTATACAGTTACATATGTATATTTATATTAGGTCTCACAATTCTCTTTGGGATCGTTCTTTTGGATTTTTTGCTGGCAAAAATATGAGGTTTTTTTTTGGAGGAAAAAAAACTGGTTTCCCTTTTGATGTTTTCCCTTAAATTATTGATGTGGTAAACCCAAGTCATCATTATGGATTTCAACCATCCCCAGTGGTCGCTCTGGCCCCGGTACCGTGCTACCCCGACCTCGATGTCTAGGGGCTCATCGCCAACCAGTTCCTGGAAATGCTGCCGTTTTGCAAAACCCAGTGGAAACGATGTGGCTTAATGACCCACTCATATTCACATCATTCATCTATGTGCATATCAATGTGAATATGAACGTGGGTTTCTCTAACATTCATCTGTGGGTCTATGTTATCCATTGTTTATCCAATTTAAGTGAAGTTTCAGTAGAAATCATGAGGGGAAGTTGACCAGGAGACATTTGCTGGCAGTAGAAATGCATGGGGGCCCAACCAGGGTGGTGTCATAGCTCCTACTTTGACCATCAATGTGAAGAACATGTAGCTGTGTCTGAAAATGGGATTCCGGGATAAAGCATGATAATATAAATATATATATATATGATAATCATGATATAAATCCCGACATTGTCATTTGAATAGTCAAAATCACGATTGACCAGTAGATTTAGGGGGTACCATGTTACAGACAAAGCTGTTCCATTTGGGATCTCCTGAGGAGGCACACCAATTGGCGCTGGCGGGAGCCCGCAATTAATGGATGGCTTGTAGATCAAAAGGACAAGCACCAGTTGGTCTCTTGAAGTAACCGGAAACAAATCTTCGGCTGTTGTAGTGGAAGTGGTTTCAATATGTTTCAATTGGAATTCGAGATAAATGTTGAGAGTGTCAGATTGAACATACATTTCGAATCATTTCGAGGGGTCCAGTCGGTCAAGTCAGGGATCTTTTCACAGAGGAGCAACCGTAGCCGCCGTAGCCTCCTCCAAGGCTTGTGGTAAGATGCGATCTGCGCGACAGCGCCTGATGGATTCGATCACGAATCGCAATGGCAATTGCTGGGGTTATAGATGTTATCTGGTTGGTGGTTGACCTACCCCTCTGAAAAATATTAGTCAGTTGGGATTATTATTCCCAATCTATGGAAAAATAAAAACTGTTCCAAACCACCAACCAGTTATAGTTAAGTGATACCCCTACTGGGACTATTAAAAGTATCGTGAAGTGATGTGATAGCCAATCACCCTATTGGAGGGGACTATTATGATCTATTCAGGTGATGGACCAATCACTAAGTCCCCTCCAACTTTCACCGAACATCAGTCCGAAGGGTCCCACTTCACCAATCCCTCAGCGGCTGAGGAGTCCCGGCAGCAGCGCTCCCACATCGGCACTCAGGGCAAATCGACAGAGACCCGGTTGGGCCGTCCTGGGCAGGAGTTTCTGCTTGGAGTTCCTGAGTTCGAAAGGTGATCCAGGCCTCCCTGTTTTGATGTCTATCATGGCCCAAAAACGGTTTCGCAAATAATGTCAACCCCGGATTAAACCATGGTTTATTAATTAGGGGGGTACTCCTCCAATAGTCATAATCTGATACTTAAATGGGTACCCCCCCCAATTAACCAGCCTAAGGGTTTATTAATCCAGGGTTGACATTACAAAGGTCTACCATGGCCATCATGGACCTTTTGGGTGAAGTTTCACATCCAGCAACGTGTCACCGTGTCACTTGATCCATCACCAACGGATTGCAGACTTGCCATGGCTTGTGAAAAAATCCTTTGACGCTTTTGGCCGTCCTCATCTGCCTGGGCTAGGTCGGCGAGGTGCCCTGCCTGGCGCCCATGAATCATGGAACCAAAACAACAAGTGTCTCTAAAGCTGTGTTATAATTAAAATAGCCAGACATAAATATTTGTTAATGTATCATGTGTTTATAAACAATACGTATTTTTCACAGTATACCTATCAAGCGTCAATCATCAGCAATAATGGAATATCAGAATGAAGACATTTCTATTTTACCGTCCCAAAATGATACATATGCGGGCATACAAATCATACCATGCCATGCTCGATTCGGAGAGGTGCGAATGTTGTTGGCTGGAACACCAAGGATCGTTGCTGAGATGTGGATCGCCAAAATGTTGAACAAACACCGATAAAATCTCACCTGTGAAACACAGTCGTCTTCTCTTTGCCAGGATCGTCCATGATCATGATCAATGCTGTGCAGCAGAAAATGAATCAATCAAGACAGATCTGAGCGACACTTGAGGATTCAAGAGTCTGGAACGGGAGAATCCTTTTCCATTCCCAACGTCGGCTATATATAGCAGTGATCAGTGTTGAAATCCCATTGGGCAATGCCCCCAAATACCTGTTTGGCGAATGGGGAATTCCCAGTTCATGGATGTATAAATTGGTGTGGTAAATAAGCATCACGCATCATACCCCTTTTGCATCCTTTTGCATTGTTGTACCATTTGGGATCATTTCGGGGACATTTAAAACCATACCTAAAAGGTGGGATTCTTCTTGGGTTTACCACTGTCACTAGTACTGTCGGCTCTGCCCAAACATGTACACCAAAGGCCCCTGAGACTGAGCGGCAAGAGCCCAAAATGCGGGAAATCAACTTGTGCTTACGTGGTGGTTTGGGTTGGTGGTTTGGAAGTCTGGGAATTGATGGTTTTGTAAACTTAGAAAAAACAAAAAAAATGTCAAACCCTGCAAACAATGAAATCGTTGAAAATAAAGAAAACAAATTTAAAACAACAATGATTGCTACCAGATTAGGTTTGTTTTTGAATTGATATTCATCTTGTATCTCGGAAAATGTACACTTATTTAATGTCCAATAATTTCACGTGATTGTTTAATTGATTATTGAATTCTAGTGCATTTTTCTGTACTTGTCTATTTATTTTTGAAATGGGGGAAAGACAGTTTCTTGAAACCGTGTGGTCCTATCCTGTACTCTGACTGATGCAGGTTTCATGGATTTTCCATGGAGCTTCCATGCAGGTTTCATGTTGGTTACATGCTGGGTTTGCTGATTTAGCTTACTGGTGGGTAACCTCCATGACAACTCCCTGGAACCTGCATGGAATCTGCATGGAACCTCCATGTAACCTGCATCAGTCAGAGTGCATGATAAAACCAACAAGTGTAGATAGAGGCATCACCTCCATAACGCACATGGAAACTGCATGAAATTCTACATCAATTCTCCATGGAACCTGCATGGAACCTCCATGAAAACTGCATCAGTTAGAAGGCGCCATGCAACCATCACGTTTAGACACAAGAAACAACGGTTACCTACATGAAACCTCCATGAAACCTACATCAATTCTCCATGGAACCTGCGTGGATACTCCATCAAGGAAGACGCCATACAATCATCAGGTGTAGATACAGGGAACATGTTCGAGTTTTTTTAATGGAAACTACATGGAAACCATCAGACGCTTTGATGCAAATCGATCGCAAATCGATCGTAACTAAATTGATCGCACAAAAACTGTTATAGCATCTGTGCGTTTTGATGTCGTTTTCACTAGGCCATCTGTCTTTGCTGATGTTTCTTTTGGTTTCTGTACTGGAAAAGTCAAATTCTTCCAGAATTTCTATTTATCCTGAGTGTTCGTTGCTTGGCGGTTTTGATGTTGGCAAGGCCAGGGTTTCAAGTGTGGACTTTGTAATGTGTCATTTTGATGTAGGATTTCGACGTTGTTTTGCGATCATTTTGCGATCCTTTGTCGATCGATTTGACATCGGCCTAAAAACGAATAAGAAGGCCATAAAACAACATCAATATGACATCGACAAGAACCTAAGGCCTGTAGAAAACGGCACTTGCCAATTCATATATTCATATGGTTTGGTGATCATAGAATCCAAGATGACATAAGTGAGTTCATTTCTCTTGGTGGTTTCGTCTTTTAATTAACTTAGTTTGCAATATTATATGTTAGGAACCTCCATCAAGTTGACACCGAGACAGACATAAAACTCCATCAAAATGACATCAAACAAAAATTCACATTTGAAACCTTGCCAAAATCGAAACCACCAAGCAGTGAACACTCAGGATAAATAGAAACTCTGGAAGAAATTGACTTTTCCAGTGCAGAAACAAAAAGGGACATCAACAAAGACAGATGACCTAGTGAAAACGACATCAAAATGCACAGATGCTATGACAGTTTTTGTGCGTTTTTTTACGATCAGTTTACGATCGATTTACGATCGATTTGCGATCAATTTGCGTCAAAGCGTCTGATGGTTTCCACGTAGTGTCCACTAAAAAAAAAGTCTCTGTTCCCTGTATCTACACCTGGTGCTTGTATGGCGCTTCTTTGATGGAGTATCCATGCAGGTTCCATGGAGAATTGATGTAGGTTTCATGGAGGTTTCATGTAGGTTCCGTTGTTTCTTGTGTCTAAACGTGATGGTTGCATGGCGCCTTCTAACTGATGCAGTTTTCATGGAGGTTCCATGCAGGTTCCATGGAGAATTGATGTAGATTTCATGCAGTTTCCATGTGCGTTATGGAGGTGATGCCTCTATCTACACTTGTTGGTTTTACCATGCACTCTGCCTGATGCAGGTTCCATGGAGGTTCCATGCAGATTCCATGCAGGTTCGAGGGAGTTGTCATGGAGGTTACACACCAGTAAGCTAAATCAGCAAACCCAGCATGTAACCAACATGAAACCTGCATGGAAACTGCATGGAAACTCCATGGAAATTCCATGAAACCTGCATCAGTCAGAGTACTGTACAGGATAGGACCGCAATGGAATTTGTTTCAAGAGAAACTGTGTTTTTTCTCTGCTTTGCTTTCATGTAGATTATTTAGATAGAATAGATAGGTAAGGTCACTTGGATAGAGTAGGCATATTAGATAGATCAGATAGAAAAGGTAGACTAGGTGGATTAGATAGATTAGATAGATTAATAGACAGACTTGAAAGATTAGAGAGGTTGGATTAGATTAGCTTAGATTAGATTAGGTAAGATCAGAGAAGATTAGACTAGTTTGATAGACAAATAGACAAACAAATAAATAGATAGATTATGTAGATATATGAGATTGGTTGATAGATTGATAGATTGATAGATTGATAGAGATAGATAGATAGATAGATAGACAGACAGACAGACAAACAAATAGATAGATTGGATATGATATATTAGATAAGTAAATAGATAGACAGACAGACAAACAAACAGATAGACAGATACTTAGATAGATTAGATTAGATTAGATTTAGATTTAGATTTAGAATTAGATTTAGATTTAGGATTTAGAATTAGGATTTAGAATTAGGATTTAGAATTAGGATTTAGAATTAGGATTTAGAATTAGGATTTAGAATTAGGATTTAGAATTAAGGATTTAGAATTAGAATTAGGATTTAGAATTAGGATTTAGAATTAGGATTTAGAATTAGGATTTAGAATTAGGATTTAGAATTAGGATTTAGAATTAGGATTTAGAATTAGGATTTAGAATTAGGATTTAGAATTGGGATTTAGAATTAGGATTTAGACTTAGGATTTAGAATTAGGATTTAGAATTAGGATTTAGAATTAGGATTTAGAATTAGGATTTAGAATTAGGATTTAGAATTAGGATTTAGAATTAGGATTTAGAATTAGGATTTAGAATTAGGATTTAGAATTAGGGATTTAGAAGGATTTAGAATTAGGATTTAGAATTAGGATTTAGAATTAGGGATTTAGAATTAGGATTTAGAATTAGGATTTAGAATTAGGATTTAGAATTTTAGAATTAGGGGATTTAGGATTTAGAAGTTAAGGGATTTAGAATTAGGATTTAGAATTAGGATTTAGAATTAGGATTTAGAATTAGGATTTAGAATTAGGATTTAGAATTAGGATTTAGAATTAGGATTTAGAATTGGGATTTAGAATTGGGATTTAGAATTAGGATTTAGAATTAGGATTTAGAATTAGGATTTAGAATTAGGATTTAGGAATTAGGATTTAGAATTAGGATTTAGAATTAGGATTTAGAATTAGGATTTAGAATTAGGATTTAGAATTAGGATTTAGAATTAGGATTTAGAATTAGGATTTAGATTTAGAATTAGGATTTAGAATTAGGATTTAGAATTAGGATTTTAGGATTTAGAGGATTTAGAATTAGGATTTAGAATTAGGATTTAGAATTAGGATTTAGAATTAGGATTTAGAATTAGGATTTAGAATTAGGATTTAGAATTAGGATTTAGAATTAGGATTTAGAATTAGGATTTAGAATTAGGATTTAGCATTAGGATTTAGCATTAGGATTTAGCATTAGGATTTAGCATTAGGATTTAGCATTAGGATTTAGCATTGGGATTTAGCATTAGGATTTAGCATTAGGATTTAGAATTAGGATTTAGAATTAGGATTTAGAATTAGGATTTAGAATTAGGATTTAGAATTAGGATTTAGAATTAGGATTTAGAATTATTTAGAATTAGGATTTAGAATTAGGATTTAGAATTAGGATTTAGAATTAGGATTTAGAATTAGGATTTAGAATTAGGATTTAGAATTAGGATTTAGAATTAGGATTTAGAATTAATTTAGAATTAGGATTTAGAATTAGGATTTAGAATTAGGATTTAGAATTAGGATTTAGAATTAGGATTTAGAATTAGGATTTAGAATTAGGATTTAGAATTAGGATTTAGAATTAGGATTTAGAATTAGGATTTAGAGGATTTAGGATTTAGAATTAGGATTTAGAATTAGGATTTAGAATTAGGATTTAGCATTAGT